GCATCGTCTTTCCACCAAATAACAGAAAAGTATCGATAGTGGTATCGATAAAGACTCGGATCGATAAGCAGTATCGATAAAGGTATCGATATCAATAAATATTAACAATCCCCATCCCTAGTTGGTAACATAAGGAACTGTTAGTAAATGTATTTCTATAGCACCTTCAATAGAGAGGGCAGGTCACAACGTGGTTAACAGAAATGGTAGAACAAAGATGCAGATTAATTCATCATCCCAGTGGAAGAAAATAAATAAAGTTAAGTAAAAAGAACTTTATTTTAACTTGAGTTTATGATCTAAACTTGGTTAGTTTTAGACAAACTTTGTCTTCTTATACACACAGAGTGCATAGAAAACAAAATGTCGATGCATAGAGCTTATGAACAGTTAAAGAGCAGCTTAGCAGTGAAATGAACATTACTGTTTACAAAGAGCAGCAGTGATCAGAATGTAAACAAAGAGAAAATAAACCAATGAAGTCATGTTGCAAAAGGCATTGATATGGAGAGATTCAGTGCAGAATAAATAAATATGGTGCAAAAAGCTGTAGAACATTAAATTCTATTTAAAGGGATTCTAAAAATAATCAGCCATGTCGGCAGTGCAAACATTCTAAGTATGATGCATATGCTTGGTGATGTTTCAACATTCATCAGTGTGATGGCGGTGGGGAAGAAGCTGCTGCAGAACCTGCTGGTCCTGCATTGAATGCTGGGAAGCCTCTTCCCAGAGGGCAGCAGATGGGGGGGTGAGGGGTCATTGATGATGTCACGGGACATGCAGCGCTGGGATGAAATGTCTTTAATGGAGGGAAGAGGAGTTACAGAGTTTATTTAAATGCTAAAACATTTATACTGAAGAGCAGCGAAAATCACATCTAGAATTTAATTTTTCTCAGTTTTTTTAAATTAGACATGTCAGAGATGGAGCTGTAATCATGATACCATCAAACTGCTATTTTTGCTTAAATTAGTTGTTCTGTTAGAGTTCATGCCGGCCTCCACCTCGTGCTAACTGTTAGCAGCTGGCAGAGCTGAGGAGCTGCAGCTCTTTGCTCCGTTCTGATGGCCCGTGGCTCCTGGCCTGACCGCTGGCCTCAGATCAGTTATCGATCAGCCTTCTTAGAGCTGATGCAGAGCAGAGAATCTGTTCATGTTGGATGCCTCTTCTTTATGCCACCACATAAAGCCAGACTGATCATCATGTTCAGCTAAACAGACTCTGCTGCTTGGTCTCAGCAGGTTCCTGTTAATGAGACCTACTGTCTTCAGATCTGCCTGATGCATCTGTGATGATGGCTTTTATTGGACTGATGTTTGTTCACAAGCTTTTCTCCCCCATCAGGTCTTCGTACCGGTTCCAAATGAGTTTCTAAAATAGTTTTTCTTTGTAGAAATAATGGTAAACTGGTGAGTTCAGGATGACATGGAAAAAGTTAGTCTTATGAGTTGGTGAGCTAAGGCAGCTGCAGCTCTGGATGTGACTGACGGTGAGATGACAGCATCTCAGAAGCCTCTGGCTAATGGGGAGAAGGTCTTTGTTTTTAGTAAGCAGATCACAGGAACATTTGAACTTTGACCTCAGGGAATGTCTCCAGTTAGCACTTAATCGCTGCCATCGGCTCTGTCACTACACGATCCGTCCCGGGGAGCGCGGTGCGTCCCGGGGAGCGCGCTCCGTCCTGCGCATCCAGACAAACATCCGAGTTGCCCTCGATTTTATTATTAAAAAGACATAAATTACGTTTTCCCCTCCCCAAAAATATTTAAAGTACTAAACTATAATGTGTTAAAGGTTAATAATGTATTTCCTGATAAAATAAATGCATTAAAATCATTTCTGTTTATCCTTCTGTTCTCGATCTGTACAGGAAATGGATGCTACGCTACTTCCAGGAGCTAACTTTATCAGCTTTGGATTTAAACATAAATCTAGTCTTTTTGAGTTTAATGTTTTCCTTTCATGTTAACATTATGCTATATAGTGCGTAATCTAAAGAAAATGTTGTGCAAAAATAATGTCCTGCAGATAATGAATAGATGGTTAACTAGAACTGGAGTTATAGTTAATCATTTATCCTATTCAACATCGAAGGCAAAATAAATTTAGTGTTCTTAGGTGGATAATTGTAGCCTTGAATTATCTACTTACCGGGTTGCGGATTCACCTCTGGAGGGTTCTTGGACCGGCTGTTAAAATCCAGGTATCCACCAGTCTAGTGGTCCAGGTTAAGTGATCAGCAAAGCTATTAAATTATCAATAAAGAACCTTCTGTATCGGCTGATTGGTCTGTGATTAAAGCTCTATTCTGGGCAATATATCCCAACAAAAGAACCAACTAAAATGCAGATAAACATTGTTTATTTAGATTTACTGCTCTGATGTCCCATGATGACGTCAGAGAAAATTTAAAAAGCATCAACATTTTCTCAGAACAGTCATAAAACATTTTTACAGATGTGTATTAGCATTCTTTGGAGAGCTAATGATAGAAATAAGTCATTTTAGAACCATCATTCCATTATTGATGGAGACTGGATGTTAATCTGTTCACTCACCGCAGGACAGGTCGTGCTTCCGGGACGGACCGGTTAGTGACAGGTTCTCCTCTTAGTCCTAACCCAATTAAAGCCCCGCCCACATCCCGCTGCTCAGCCAATCAGAGTAAGGTCCCTCCCCCGCTGCAGAGTGTTTGTTTACGGTGCTTTGCTTAGATTGATGGTGGTGTAGAAAGTTATTTTTTAATAGAAACTCATCTTTGGTGTGAACTCCATCAGATGAGCTCTGATCTTATTCCATCATCATTTCAAAAGAGCAACGTCACTCAGTTAATCAGAGCCAATGTTCTTTTATCTTCTAAATGTTTAATGGTTAATTATTCCTCCGTGCACTGCCAATGAGATCTAGATCTCAGCAAGGCTTTAATCTGGTTCAATAAATTAAATGATGATTAAGAGACACGCTTGCAGCCAATGTTGCATAAGACTGGTTTGACTCCTGAGCTACCAGGATGAACATCATCCAACTGGGGCGTCCAAATCCCAGCAGGTGAGGTGGGAGGGGGTCTGCTCTGTGGTCGCAGTGGTTCCCTTATTGGAGCTCTCCATGGTGCTGTTCTGCTCTCCTTCTGAGCTTAGAGTCTGAGGTGAATAAAGGTTCTGACCTCCTGGGGGAGTCGGAGGTGATTGAGTGGGTTCGGCCAGCAGCTGAGCTCACCTGTGGTTTGCTGCTGAATGTTACAGACTTCTGATCAGTTCAGCTGAATCCAGTGGCTCCAAATCTTTTTCCACACACTGATCTGCAGCATTTAAAGTGAAACCCAAAGAGCAATCTCTGAAGACCTTCGCTTATTTCTCTTATTTGCTGTTTCTGTGTTTTTAAAACGGGCGGTACAGTAGCAGCCATTCAAAATGGCCGACCCCGTCAAAATCTTGCTGAATGGCAGCAAAATCCCCTCTAACTTCCAGCCTCTGGCCTTCTCCTGGGCGTGCAGAGTTTTTCCTCTGACTCCACCCTTTCACTGAATTACAGGGTCTGACCAGGAGATGGCGCTGCTCTTTACATCTTAATGTCCACAAATCATGACGGAAAATTTTAAAAAGGAACGATAGGAGACCAACCAAAGGCCCGACAAGGAAAGTGGGGAGATTGTGAATAGTTCCTACTGTATGACCGTGAGTCATATGACAGATGTAATGGAGAGAATTGCTCCTTCAGGTAAATGAATGACGGACGCCCGGTACCAGGCCGAGGCCCGGGGGTTTGGAGGACCTCGCAGCGCTCTAACGGACCCAACATGCTGTCTGCTTATTGGGCTGGGATCAGTGTGAAACGTTTCCATAGTGACAGACAGACTTGTTGGTGTTAATGTGAAGCGAACTCTTTGGAAGCGGCGTCGGCGCGGTGCGGATGCATAGCGTGGACTTCAGGGTCATGAAGGGCGTTAATGTTGACGATGTGACCCGCCTCGTCAGGGATCCTCTGGCAGCGAGCGCCGCATTCAGCAGACCAAGCGTGTGTCCGTTCCCCTCCCTGCCTTATCAGCAGCAGGTGGGGGTGGGGCGGGGTCCTGGTCTGCCTGTGTCACTCAGATTACTGCAGCAGGCTTTAATTTGCTGTGTTGATGTTCCAAACTCTGCTCAGCTCATCCCTGATCTCCTCCTTTGTCTCTGCTTATTAACCCTGTGGAGAACCTTCTCCCTGCCAGCTCCGCCTCCTCTGCGTCCCTCTGTTGGTCTTTTGTTTCTCATCATGAATGCCTTGGCAGCCAGCGGCCGCAGCTTTGGCTCAGCGGGCCGGGTCCGGCCGGGGAGGCTGCTTGTTTTAAGTTTGTCCTGCTGTTTGATCAGGCTGGCAGAGTCCACTCTCACCAACCTCCTCTGCATCTGCTGGTTCCTCCTTCACCTCCCTCCCTCCCTGCATCTGCTGGTTCCTCCTTCACCTCCCTCCCTCCCTGCATCTGCTGGTTCCTCCTTCACCTCCCTCCCTCCCTGCATCTGCTGGTTCCTCCTT